TATGAAAAGTATCGCCTATCTTTAGTTATCTATCGGAATGTGCCAGAATTACAAAAGCGTGAATTATCATAATTCACTCCGTGATATATGGATACTATATGCTCTTAGTTAGGAGGTAGAATATTGATTTATTATTAAGTGGTCGTGGACAAAATAACTAATATTACTAGTACATACTTGTTCATAGCTACATTCCTACCTACCAAACGAAGGTGTTTGAAAAATAAACACAAACTTTTATCCAGCCACAACGGCATGTCACGTAAGATTTAAAAATAGTTAATAATAACAACAAAAAAGTAACGCACTATCATGAACATAAACATTGAAAAATAAAAAAGCACGTTCAATGAGAAGGCTGACACTCAGACTCATCGATAATTTTTTTAATGTTTGCAGTATAATTTGATACAGCCATTCGAATACAATTATCCAAATGTTCATATGTAAGTCGATTGCGATATTTGTTCTTAATAAACTTCATATTGGAAAAAGAAGATTCACACAAATAGGTTGAACTGAATAATGCTTTCACTTTCAAGGCAACACGGCATAGAACTGAATATTTGTCTTTCTTACAATAGGCCAGATACATTTGGTACTTGAGACTAACGATTTTAAGGCTAAATCATTTTGAAACTCAATTACTTCCATTTCTGTTGCAGCGATGTCTTCGCCAAAGTTCTGCATAACACAAGTTGCAAACTGTTGGATATCAATTTCCATAAAGGGTGAAACAACAAACTGCGCTACTAAAGCCATTTCGTTGAAATCCTTAAAACGATTTTTGAAGTTATTCTTCAGGGTAGAAACTATTTCTACATGATATTTGCTGTCATAGGGTTCTAATGGATTTTGAGATATTTTTTCTGAAAGAATAGGAAAATGCCTGGCATCGCTGTTAATTAGGTTTTGTTCCCAAAACTCCAGCTTTTTGATAAATGCTTTTATATCAGAAATCATTTCCGCTAGTTCTTTGTCTCTCCCCTGAAGCTGGAAATTAAGTCCGTTTAATTTCTCTGTAATGTCCACGAGAAAACCAAAATCTCTAAGCCAGATTGAATTTTCTAATTCGGGAGTCGGTTCATCGCGTTTTTTGAAAAATTGAACTATGCCAGATAGGACATCATTAAAACGTTTCAGCACCCGTCCTCTACTTAACCATCGGACTTCAGAGTGAAGGAGTAGGTCCCCGTATTGACAGTCAACTTCATCGGCCATAGTTTTGAATAATCTTGAATAATCTCGTTCACAATTTTTACCACCAGTTTAATAACGTTGTTTAGTTTCAGGAAATTTCCATATAATAATTGCTGATGGATAATGCAGTGGTAACAGATAAATTGCGAAAAAGTTTCATCTTTACGACATAACACCACCAGACCCTTATCACAACCCACCATAGCTGGAGCGCCATTGGTTGTCAAGCCTACCATTTTCGATATTGGAATTTTCTCGGAAGAAATAATATTTTTTAAATGAGAAAACAACTCCTGTCCAGTAGTGTGTCCTTTCAGTGAAATAAACTTCAAAAGATCTTCTTTAATCGTAAAATCACTAAAAACCATCCTGACGAACACGGCCATCTGGACAGTGTCAACGATATCTGTTGATTCATCCAGTTGAAGTGAAAAATAAACACAGTTATCTAAGTCAGTTCTTAACTGTAAAAAAATATCATTGCTCATTACTTCTACACGTCTCATCACTGTATTAGCAGAAAGTTGCATAGATTTTATAGCTGAAACTATCTCGTCTTTATTTCTAAAGTTGGCCAATAACGAATCAGCAGCTTCTAAAAACGCCTGTTTTATCATTTCCCCGTCTTCATAAGGTTTCTTTTTTTGTGCAATTATCTGGGACACACGGTACGATGCTTCAGTTGCAGCCTTATATTTGTCGACTGTTCTTAAAAATATTGATTGTTGTCCAATTAACTGCTTTTTTAACTGTTTCAGTTTCTCCGTTCTGGCGGCAGAATGTAGTGGGAATGATTTTTCAAAATTAGAATGTACAGTTTTATGATGTCTCTCACTATGTCCTTTTTTAGCAACGGAGACCGAAGTATTACATAACAAACACACATTTTTATCTTTAACTTCTGTAAAAAAGTATTGTTCTTCCCATTCCGAATGAAAGTGGTATGTCTTTACCTTCTTACAACTGCTTGCCATAGTATTACTTTTTGTTGTTTTCTACTAACCCAACCGCTGGACGTTGGTTACGCGTTCAGTTTTAAACTAAGCGCAATGTCGCCGCCCCGTGCGTATTTATCCCGTTCAAAGCAATCCTGATCGTTCACGAACACTAACGCGCTGGTCCGGCTGGTCGGTTCTAGCCGATTCTAGCTTGATGGCGTTAGCGGCAGATCGCTCACCGCAACGTTGCCGCTGTTTATGTTTAATATTATGACAATTAGATTTTTTTGTGGAATTTTCGGAAGCTTCTCTGATTTTTGCAGAATTTTCGGAAGCTTCTCTGATTTTTGCAGTTTGTATTTTTTTAATTAAAATCGTTGTGAGAGCTACCAGAATTGCCTCCGCGAGCTACCGGTAGCTCGCGATCGACAGGTTAGCGACCACTGCTATAGAAGATCTTGTACCATCTTTGTTTTTCTTATTTAGCGATACAATTTTATTCGTATGGCAATTGCTAAGAACCAGAACCTCTTTAGTGTCCTGCCATTTTGCAAAAATTACACACTCGTTGGTGCATTTAAAAACTGATTCACCCTTTTTCAGTTTTACAGGTAGTTTCGGAATATATTTTTTTCTAGTAGCTATACAGGTACCCAATGCTGCATAGTTTGTTGAATGAAATAAGTCAACAGAGGTAAAGAAACGGTCCAAGTAAAATGTAACATCGGTCTCTTGGATAGTATTTGCAAGCGTTTTGACTACCCTTTCTTCTAAAGTACCATCTTGGTTGCAATCTTCTTTCCCCGCATAAATGTTGAAATCGTAAGTATATCCCGTTTCTGAGTAACAACGCTTTGTTGGTTTGAGGGGCATGTATTGATTGAGGGGTGACCGCCCCTTGAATTTAGTCATCGATTCTCTGTGCGTGACAGTTTATTTTGTTGGTATTTTGACGATAATAATTTGTTTTAAAGTGATGTGAAACATACTTCAACTGATTAAGACTACAATAAGTACAAGAAAAACTGCATTTAGTCGACTAACGTAGATATTTTATTTTTTTTTTCGAGTCGTCAATGTGTTTAAAGTTTACATGTTTTTTGGAATTATATCCTATTTATTCCACCAAGGTAACATTTGTGTTAATAAATAAAGCTGTGACTATTTTAATATCAGTGGCATATACCACTTAAAATAACGATGGGAGATGATTAAAAGTGCAGTAAATGTAAGCTTACTAAATCTGATGGCTATGTTGGATACTAAGATGTCTGCTCAAAATGGTTCCACTACTCTTGTGTTGGTCTAACTAATGTTGAGTTTTCAGTGCTTTCAAAAAGTAAAAATTTATATTTTCTATGTGAACTCTGTAGACGTAAATGCGGCATTGTTAGAAAAATCCCTGTCTGATAACAATAATAGTCTGAAACCAATTGACGAACGTTTATCTGACATTTGCGATGTAGTTCAAAAAACCATCCAGGAAAAGTTAGATGAGCTCTCTAGCTTCAAAAACGAAATTGTCGATATTCTAAAAAAAGAGATTCACGAGAAGATTTCCCTTAGAGTCGACGGCTTTTCTTCCAATTCTTCAAACTCTAACACGTCTGATCTTAGTAATAAAGTATCATACTCGAAAGCAGTTGCTAAGCAACTTTCTTATGTAATTATGTCTAAGGCAAAACAATTTACCTCAGTCACGAAAACTGCTATGATTCAAAATATAAACCCTATATCATCTAACATCAACATCACTAAAGTAGTTAACGTTCGAGATGGTGGTGTAATGGTTAGATGCGAAAACTCTGATGAATGTACCAAATTTAAAAAGTTAACAGATGAGAAAAAAATTGTTTATTATGATCCTGTAAAAATGCAAATAAACTTATGTCTGTAAAATTATAGGTTATCTTGATTATCATTGTTCTCTATTTAAGTGAAAATGACACAACTGGTACGGAAATCTGTTTTACAATGAATTGAACAAGGTATAATAGGACCACGCATGAAACAAGGACCGTGAAGCAGCGCGGACGTTACGGCGCACGGTACGTACGACTTCCACCTCACTCCCACTTACGCTCGTTTCCAATAGATCTGGCTTAAACGGTCCAGGTTTAATTTTCCTAACCTGTATTTATGACAATAATGAATTAGTGAATGTTGAGAACTCTGGAAAATCTGCTGCAAATCATGATTATAAACTTAGAACATTTTCTACATATTGTCCTAGATTAAACATGTGTTGAAACACAAGAGGTTTAATTTTTTTGCATTAAAAAAATGCTAAAATTAAAATAGATTTTCATATTTTTAAAATTACTAGTTGATGTTATTACTATATTAAAAAAACCAGCAAAGTAAATTTTCGGAAAACTACCCTGCCCTGTTTAAATAATCATTTGAGTTACACTATCAATTTGCAAAGCCACTGATTTGCATATCTAAGGTCAAAATAAATAAAAAATTAGATCAGTCTTTTACTTCTTTAACCTTTGAAATCAATATTACAGATTGTCTCATTGGAAGTCAGATTAAATTTGTTATAATATTTTGTAAAATAAAGTGATAATAAAACTGATACAAAATTTAAAATTGATTAGATTATGTTCTCTGTATTCTTAGAAACAGAGATTAAACAATATTTTTCGTGAAATTACCAGGGTTGTAAAAGAAATATTAAAAAAGAAAAAAAAATAGATTCAGAAAATAGTATTAAAAAAGCACCGTTTGAAAAATATGTAGGTACATAATTCTGTATAATAAATACTTGAATTTTCTTTTGCATACATTTTATTTATTTTCGATAATACCAAACATACGTTAGAATGGTGGGATTGTATTAAATAAAATCAAAACTATTTAAAAAAAAATATTTTATTTCTAAATAAAAACTCACAAATGTTTTTTAACTTCATACATTTTTCTTCTTGCCTTCTTGAAAGCCAGTAAAACTTGATTTACGCTTCGTATCAAACTAGAAGAGTTCAATTTTTCATAAATGAATTTTCCTTGAACGTCTCCTTCATTAAATTCTTTCAGAAACGCTTGTGACTGATGAAGGACGTTGACTCGAAATTTCATTTCTCCTGTACCAACTGTGTTTACGCCGAATTTGTTAAACGTATTAGTCTAAAAGAGTAAAATGATTATTCGAAAATTTTGTGAAATTTTGGGTAATTAAATGACATTTTGGACAATATGGACACTATGTACAATATAGGGAATATGTTCAATATGAGGAATATGGATAATATGAACAATATGGACGATATGGACAATATGGACAATGTTGATAATATGGACAATGTGGATAATATGGACAATATGGACAATAGGGACAATATGGACACTATGTACAATATGGGCAGTATGGACAATATGGACCATATATAGGCAATATGTAGACAATGTGTAGGCAATATGTAGGCAATATGTAGACAATATGTAGACAATATGTAGACAATATGTAGACAATATATAGACAATATTTAGACAATATGGTGTCAATATGGACAATACGTACAATATGGGGAATAGGTACAATATGGGGAATATAGACAATATGGGCAATATGGACAATATGGATAATATAGATAATATGGACAATATAGATAATATGGACAATATAGATAATATGGACAATATCGACAATATGGACAATATGGACAATATGGACAATATGGACAATATTGACAATATAGACAATATGGACAATATGGACAATATGGACAATATGGACAATATGGACAATATGGACAATATGGACAATATGGACAATATGGACAATATGGACAATATGGGCAATATGGACAATATGGACAATATGGACAATATGGACAATATGGACAATATGGACAATATGGACAATATGGACAATATGGACAATATGGACAATATGGACAATATGGACAATATGGACAATATGGACAATATGGACAATATGGACAATATGGACAATATGGACAATATGGACAATATGGACAATATGGACAATATGGACAATATGGACAATATGGACAATATGGACAATATGGACAATATGGACAATATGGACAATATGGATAATATGGACAATATGGACAATATGGACAATATGGACAATATGGACAATATGGACAATATGGACAATATGAACAATTTGAACAATATGGACAATATGTAGACAATATGTAGACAATATGTATACAATATGTAGTCAATATGTAGACAATAAGTAGACAATATGTAGACACTATGTAGACAATATGTAGACAATATGTAGACAATATGTAGACAATATGTAGACAATATGTAGACAATATGTAGACAATATGTAGACAATATGTAGACAATATGTAGACAATATGTAGACAATATGTAGACAATATGTAGACAATATGTAGACAATATGTAGACAATATGTAGACAATATGTAGACAATATGTAGACAATATGTAGACAATATGTAGACAATATGTAGACAATATGTAGACAATATGTAGACAATATGTAGACAATATGTAGACAATATGAAGACAATATGGACAATATGGAGACAATATGGAGACAATATGGAGATAATATGGACAATATGGACCATTTTACTTTTTATTTTATTTATTTTACAAATTGTTCTATAGGAAATTCCCAATTAAAGAACAGGCAAAATATGACAAAACAAATATCTCAGAAAAATACAATGTAAAAAATTACAAAACAAAAGAATAAAGATTTAAAAAAGAAAGAAAAATAGACTATTTAAATCTATAAAATAATCACAGAAGCAAATGTTAAATATAGCCAACTCCGAGTTAATACTGTTGCAATTACTACACATGACGTATAATGCAGATTTGCTTAAAATGTTGGTGCGAGGAGTGGTCAAATAAGAAGTACCATTGCACCTAAAAATTTGGCGGGGAATCCTAAAATTTAACATCCTCTTATGTAGCAAGTTATATGAACTCTAAATGCAAGCTTGCAATTATAAATCCGTACCATACCGTCAATGTGGTCATTGAAGGATAGTGCCGACTCAAAAGTAACGCCCAAATCCACAAAGTTATTCAGTCTGCATAATAGAGTGTTGCCTATACGGTAATTGTAAGCAATTGGATCAGAGCTTAGTGAATAAGACATGACATTACACTTCGAGGGATTCAAATCAAGGTTATTTTCCCGACACCATTCGATAACTCTCAGAAGATTTTCAGATAGCCTTTCACAATCCGCGACGTTCTTAATTATTATGTAAAATTTAAAGTTGTCGGCGTAAATTAAAGAATTAACATCAACTACATCCACGATGTCATTCACGAAAATGTTCAAACAACAACGGGTCTAGATTTGATCCCTGAGAAACACCGGAGGTGGTAGAATACTGATTAGACTTAAATCCATTAAAACATATTGTGTTCTGTTGGTGAGATATGATATTGTTAATAGTGAGATTATAGACCCTTTTGACTGACCCTAAAGTCCACTCTTAGCGGTAACCACGAGTTATATAGAGGGGTCCAATTTATATTTAAATTGGCCTCTAGTAAACACACGACTAGAAGGTTAAGTTCAGACGGGATGGGCCTAAGGAACCCTAACTTCCTGACGATGATTCAGAGGGCGGGGAAAGGGTTTGCCCTACAGGGACTATTCCCTTTGGCAGTATCTCTCTCTCTCTTAGAGATCTGACTAAGCCAATACCCCCGCCTTTAAATGATCGTGAGTTTTCATGAACCAAAAAAATTAAAACAACAATCGTAAAACAAATAACTATAGTTTATTTAACAAATATAAAAACAACTAGTATTGCTTCCGCAATTCAGTAGTCTTTGCTGACTACACAAAACTAAATATTACTACTTAAAACTATTTACTTACATTAAGCATTATATTCTAATTTGTTAGGCTGCAGGGCTGGCTAAAGCACACGTTACTTTTCCCACTGTGTGGCGTTACAAAAAAACTAACCGCGATTTTACGTGACCGACCCGTGATTCTACTTTCTACACAAAAAAAAGGAATAATTACGATCGCTCGTCAACAAAAACCAAAAGGAACACCCCGGAAATTAACTTGTAATTTTCCAAGAATGCTCTTGTTGATCTTTCTTGGCCCTGTACTTTAATATGATTTAATAAAACCTTGTCCAACTACACGTTCTATTATTTTATTGAAAATATATTTAGCGCGCCTGCCCTTGGACAAAACTTTACAAATCATAACATACCTATTCACAGGGTGTTTGTCATAGGATTTCTAGACAGGCAGTCAGCATCGCTGTGCTTCATTCCACTTTTGCGCACAATTTCGTACTCGTACTCCGATAACTTGAGGGCCCACCGGGCTAGGCGCACAGTGGGGTCTTTACTGGCCTTCAACCAACAGAGAGCATGATGATCCGTTACGATCTTCACCAGTTTTCCATATATCATGTGTCTCAGGTAAGCTAGTGCCCATATGGCAGCCAAGGCCCTCAAGCTCTGTTATGGAATAGTCCTTTCGCTTTTTGTCAGGCTCCTGCTAATAAAAGCGATGGGGTGTTGTTCACCATCCTCACCTTCTTGTAATAAAATGCCTCCTATCCATATTTTACTGGCGCTCATGCCCTTTAACTGGAAAAAAGTGTGCTAGAACTGGAGCGGTGATCAGTTTTTCCTTAAGACACTCGAAAGCCTGCTGTTGTACTGTTGTCCATAAGAATCCATCCTTGTGGGTGGCCTGATGGAGTGGATGTGCTATTTTGGAGGTCTTTTATAACTTTCCTATAAAAGTTGCACATTCCTAGGAAGCTTTGCACTTGTTTTGTGCTCCTAGGGGTTGGAAAGTCCCGAATGACTTGCAGTAAAGCTCCATCTGTAGCTATTCGTAACAATATAAAAATCCAGCTAGCGACTAAAATATGCATTCGTATTCCTCAAAAGGTGTTCTTGGTGTCATACTTGGTACTTTTTCTATTTAAATTGTGTTGGTTAGAGTAATACAGATGATGAGAATGGCATATAACAGTTGAGGATATGATAGAAAATTGTTACCATTTAATTAAAAATCGATGAGTTCGAACGTTTGTCTAAATTATTGACGCGATTCCTAATAATAGCTCTGGTACGTTTTTGTCATCTTACCCTGTATATAAAATTAATACTACACTGCGCTACTACTCTACCGATCAGACTTACATCACATTGACCTGTAGGTAATCCAACCCATCTCACATCTCTGTAATTATAAGCATCACCAATAAAGTATCTTCTTAATTTTCCAGAACATTCTCCAGGATCGAACCGATAACAGGATAAGTCGTATAGATAACAATTAGGTCTAGAAATTGGTAAATATTGGTAGGCAATCCCTTCAGTCCGGTAACGTTCCCAAGATGATTTTGAAATTATTTGAAAATAGATACAAGGATTTTTCGGAGTTGCTAAAACATTTGTATACAACATTGAAACATCATTGTTCATACCTAGTTTAAAAAATTCTTACTTGTATCCTGTAAAGACTGAATATCGTACTCCAAGACAACGTCAAAATTGTGACCATAGTACACAATACCATCCTCACCTTTACTGTGACACATCGAAGTAACTCCACTCAAAGTTTCAGGATTTTCGCAGGTCCAATGGGCAGGTAGATCAATAAAATATTGCATAAACAAATTATCATACTCAAAACCTTTAGCAGATAGTATATCGAAGAATAGGTATACGAATAATTTGTTTTTTGGTGGCAAAAAAAAATCTTCACCGGTAATTTCTTTTGTCAAGGAAATCTTTTTATCTGAAATCTAAAATTATAAAAGATTAGAATATGTTGATGAATAATTTTTAATTGTGAGGGCTTAGAGCTTGGAGTAGAAGATTATACTTTGCTTAAAAGCTGAATCAGCTCTTTTGATTCCGTTATTTATTATAAACCGGATTTAAGCAGACTCAGTCTATTTGGTTTCATTGTAGGCGAGATTCTTATAAATTTTTGTATCTTTTTGAATTAAAAGAGGTAGGTATTTATCTTTTGTTTCGGATTTTTTTCCGTATAGCCTTTGGATTTCCTCTTTTCATATGATAGCAATTTTGGGTATTCTCTCACATATCAGTTTTATGTTTAATATTCAGTTGTGTTTTTAAAATGGAGTAATTTGGTTGAGAGTTGTTCAAAGAACACATTTTTAGAAAAGGATGATACTTTGTTATCTTCCAGTCTAAATGTTGACTATACATTTTATACCTTCAATTTCGAGTAGTGTACATGGAACATTATCGTTGCTGGACATCTTTTTTCAAATTTAAAATACCTAGATATTTCAAAATCGAAGATCTAAACTGACACAGAACATAAATCTTCCAGAAACTGTCAAAAACTATTTGGGGAAAATAATTAGATGCTTACATGATTATTACAAAATATAGATTTCTATTGATCAATTTTTCAGTTTCATAATGAAAAACCAGTGCTATAATGAATAACATTATGAAACTGAACATTAACATTTAATTAACAAATGATAGTACATGAGTAGAAAACAATGTTTACATGCTGGTTAGCAAGAACAACGACGCAATTAAAAGTAGTCGATTTAACAGTATTTATTTATTTATAAATGGTTTAGGCGCGAGTAATATACAAAAATACCTTTTTTTAAGAATGAAAATGTTTCTTTTTTGACCTACAAAACTAAATTATCTCTAATAATTGCTTGTTATGATACATTTTAGAAAATTTTCGGCATTTCTATATTTAATCTCAAATATCTTTCTAGAATTACCTTTATTATTTATAAATAGGTATTTATGTAATTTTATTCTTGTGGTAGAAACGTATACGTCAAATATTGTTAAAAGTTTGGTTAGAATTAACTGTCAGTGGAACCAGAATTACGTCACACTTTTATGACGTATTGTATAACAAATTCAATATTAAAAATATGGCCTTACTTTTCTTATAATTTCATTTTCCTTGAATGCTTCGGAATCTGGTATGTCAGCAGACGCATGTTCAACAAAATAATTAACATGTCTTAGAGTATGACCATGAATTTTCAAAATATATGGTTTTGTTGTGGTAAAATCCGGAAAAACGGATATTGTTTTTGATATCTTGTCATATCTAATAGCACATAAAATTATTTCATTTTTTATCCAGACGTCTTCGAGATACTCCCTAAAAAAAAGAAAATAGTAGTAAAAAGCATCTTTAAAGAACCCCGCACAAATCTTATGGAAATTGGCTCCCGGTCAAATTGGCTGAAATTTGGATATGTTGTTCGTTTCGACATCCTGAGCAAAAGTCTCAATGGGCACAAAGCTCAATTTTGTTTATTTTGACTCCTACGGAGCTCCAAAGCTCTACGGATTGACCATTATTTACTACTTAAAAAGGCAATCTGCTCGAAAGTTTAGTATTTGCTGTGTTAAAAAAGAAGTACCTTCTTATGTTTTTGGGGTCGCTGCATTCAAATCCAATGCCAGAAAATCAAAGTATGTGCAGTATAATAATATTGACAGTTGACAGCTGTCAACTAGCTGTGAAACAGTATGTGACAATCAAAATTGATAAAATCCATATGTAAATATGTCTTCGAGGTCGCTGAGTTCAAAATTGATATCAAAAAGGCGATATTGACAGTGATCAGCTGTCAACTAACTGTCAAACAGCATGTGACAATCAAAATTAATAAAATCCACATGTAAATATATGTTTTTAAGGCAGCCGAGTTCAAAACTGATGTTAACAACTCGATATTGACAGTTGACAGCTGTCAAATAACTGTCAAACTACCACAATATTTATTTCTACCATCGGCGTTAGCGTTACCCGATGTACACCACGTGGAGATCGCGCGATCCGTTTTTGTACATCTTGGCCCTGAAAAGGGCCGATTGTTTTATTGGATCTATGATTTTATCAATTTTGATTATTGCTTGTTGTTTGATAGCTAGTTGATAGCTGTCAACTGTCAATATTATTAAATTGGCGTTGGATTTAAATGCAGCGACCCCGAAAACATAAGAAGGTACTTCTTTTTCAACACAGCAAATACTAAACTTTCGAGCAGATTGCCTTTTTAAGTAGTAAATAATGGTCAATCCGTGGAGCTTTGGAGCTCCGTAGGAGTCAAAATAAACAAAATTGAGCTTTGTGCCCATTGAGACTTTTGCTCAGGATGTCGAAACGAACAACATATCCAAATTTCAGCCAATTTGACCGGGAGCCAATTTCCATAAGATTTGTGCGGGGTTCTTTGTCAATATGTAAAACCTTAAAGATGAAAATTTTATTATATTTAATGTCAAAGAGATGTTTTTTATTGGTTTCTTATATGTTTTACAGAAAAATATTAATAAATATTTAACAATTTAAGAGAACATAACCTTATTTATTTGAAATTGAAGTAAGATTTAATTGAGGTTGACGTTTCTATATTTAAAGATTTACATGTAGGTAACTTTTTGAGAATACTTTGTGAAAACGGGTATAAAAAAAACTCAACTTCACTAAAAGAAACTTTGATCATATAAATACTAGATAAATAATATTCCCTATTTCTTGTCCACAATATGAACTTAGAATATAGTCTTTGATTACTATACGGTACAAAAGAGAGGTCCGACACGCCCAACATAGAGCGCGGCCATTTTGATGCCTTTACCACAGTTTATAGCTAAAGAATCAGTTCGTTCACTCTGCGTCGGCACTTTTGATCTCAATGCTCCAGTTTATACACTGCGCAACTCGAATGATACAATATATGACAACCGCCTATAATAAAACAGCAGTCTTTTGCGCATCCTGAATTTGTATCCCTGGAGTGGAAGTTATTTTGGAACTTTCAACTGGTCCAAGTGAGCTAACTGATTCTTTAGCAATAAACTGTGACTCCAAAAATAATATTCTGTGACACTGACAGCAGCAAGCAAAATATTAAAAATATTGCGCCAAGATGTAGGCAACACGTAATAAGGCTTCAGAATGGCGGATTTTTCTATCTCCTTTTAAAAGGCACTCAGAAAGCTGCGCAGTGCGACCATTCTCCGTATAGTAAGAGAAAATCAAAGTACAGTCTGTTCGCTATACTTACGCGGGTTTCAGATTAACAAAATTATGCAAATTAGTCATTGACAACTCTTCCAATAAGCCTCTTCCCTATAAATTAAGTAAAATTGCCCTAATGGTCAGATTTAAATTAAAATAACATTAGAGTAGGTAGAGTGTTACAAATATTGCAGTTGAATTGATTCTTTGCAAGTGTTGACATTGTATGTATATTGTAAATTTAGTGGAAATTTTAAAAATACCCAGACGTGTGTTACATGTAGATAGTCTAATTTGTAGTAGATATAAGAATTTTACGGATGAAAAAGAAAATGGCGGTCCTTTAAAATCGGTAATGTCTGTAGAACAACGCGTATGCGATGCTCTAAGAATTAGTGAAACCAAATTAAGAGGAGTATTACAAAATCACAATAGTGAACTTCCGAAAGAAAATCACCGCAAAACTCGAATATCATTGAAAACGAAAGATATTCCAGATGGAAAGAAATTTGAAATTCGTGATACCATTTATCGAATGAGGGCCAACAAGGAACATGTGACCTTAAATACAATTCTCTCGGAAATAATAGATAGAAAATTTGACGACATTGGCAGAACAAATCTATGGCAAGTGATACATAACTTCAAATTTCAAAAGGAGGATAACAGAAAGGCCCTTTGTGAAAGAAGTTCTGTCGTACACAAGAGAATTAACTTTCTAAGAAAATATTCTAAATTTAAAGAAGAAGGGGCGAATTTTATATATTTAGACGAAACGGATATTTTCTAGGGATGCAACCAAGAGAATATGGCAAGATGATAACGTAAAGTCCATCAAACATACCGATGGAGAAGGGAAGCGACACATAATTTTAGATGCCGGAGGGAAATCGGGTTTTATAGAAGGTGCTGATTTAATATTTTCATCTAAATTAAAATCCAGTGACTATCACGATAATATGAACACAGAAATGTTTGTAAAATGGTTGCATGAAAAACTTCTCCCAGGTTTAAGTGTGCCCAGCGTAATTATTTTAGACAATGCACCTTACCATTCTGAAGTATTAAACAAAAGTCCAACGAATTCTTGGACTGTTGATAAAATTAAAGAATGGTTGACAAAGGAACATATAACAATTCCTCAATAGGTATAAATTAAAATCAGAATTATTACGATTGGCAAATATACACGCAAAACCAAAAACCTTTGTTGTGGATCAGATTATTGAAAGTTACGGTCATCAAGTTTTACGTCTGTCACCGTATCATTGCCAGTTTAATCCCATCGAATATATATGGGGAATAGCAAAACGACGCAGTTCGGCAAACTTGGCGAAAAGTACTTTCAATTGCAACTCCAGAAGTGTGGCGGAACTGTATATCCAAGTGCGTGAAACTAATAGAAGATTGGTGGACTCGTGAAAATAAAATAAACGAAATAAGTCCAATCATAATAACAATTAATGGTGATGACAGTGATGATGATGATGACGATTATGATATTTTGAATGATAATGACTGATTTTCATTTTTGTTGTAAGTTCAATTTTTTTTAATTTTTCATTTGAAATTCTCTACATGGAACAAATTTTTATGTTAGAAAATATTTTATTTGAGCTAAATAATACTCTTATTATACATAGACCATATTTTCTGTGTGAAGTGTAATATAAAATTATTATTAAGTTTATAATAACCACATTATAGACTCCATTAATGAAGAAGTTTAATTCTGCTCTGAATTATACAAAAGATTCTCCATTATTATTTAATTAAAAAGTTGTACATTGTTTTTCATTTCATTTAACCAGTTAATATTTCCCCAAAGAACAGGTCAAACTTTCGGGTACTTACCTGGAAATACTCATAAAAATTTTAATCCGAAACCCGCGTAAGTATAGCGAACAGACTGTATGTGCTTTAAAAGGATATAGCATCCCGTCTATGATTCGATTGAAATATTTGATTTGAACGCGTTTTTTATTGGTTCTGCGCCGATATAGCAATATTTCCATGGGCGTATCCAACTCTTAACAAATATACATAATTAATACAAGTTCAAAAATGAAAGGAAACGGGTCCATTATTTTAACTCTATTAGTAAGCTGCACCTTTTGAAAAATTGAAAAAATATGCTTTTCTCTGTTGTCATTAAAAAAATCAAGATGGCGGCGGTACGCCAAACGCTAAAGTTACATAAATTTGACAAGTCAGTTAAAAACTAAAAAGAAAATAATTGTTCTATACTTATAATCACTGTGTAATCATTTTTTACCCCAAATCTGCAACTATAAACATTTTTTCCACCTCGTTTTGTATTACTTTATTATCTAAAGCACTTAAAACGGATTTCTCAAACTCGTACTCCTCTTGAATACCTTCGCGCTCTTGACTTAAATGTAATGTGTCCATTAATTTTTCTAGACTGGTTTGTTTTCTATCTTCCTTAAAATAAAAAAAAGCTGATGAAAACAACTTTGAACTTATTATTGAATGAGAAATAAAGATTTTGAGTATATTCTCTACATTTTCTGGTATACAGAGTTTATCATCTAGCATAGGGAAACAGATGAGTCACTAAAAATGAACCATATTGAATATCTTGAGGAAAAAACACAAAAACAGATTGATGTATATTTTTTAAAAATTTCATCCTTGTCCACAAAACCTTAAGGAAATGTTCACCAACTCCTGGACTAATAACTCACCTCAGTATCTTCAATATTACTATAATCTTGGTTAATATAAGTGTAAAATATCGAATCGTTAGTAGCTTCGCCATTAACAATCTGTTCGTAATATTTTCTTTCCAAATCCGTTACACAATTTTTGATATCTGAGTAATATAGAAATTCGTCCTTGTTGAATAGTTTTTCCTGCCATATAAATTCTTTAATGTGCCACTTTTCCTCTCCATCATTGACGTCCATTAATTCTTCCTTCAATCGAATCCTAAAAAATTCCAATTAATGTCTTACTTTCCGTACCTAGTTGAAAAATCTAATCAGGGCTGTGTGTATTATTAAAATAATTTTCAGTAATTAATACACCAATACATTGTTCTAACACCTATTAAGATTTTGTGAGTTTCTTAAAATAGGTCAAAGAACTTAAAATTATTAATAATCTTATCAAGATATCAATCACTTATACTCAAAATACAGTAATAAAATTATCCATTTCTTTAATGAGTATATTAAATAAAGAAGGAAAGTAAAAGTTTTTTCCAAATAAAATTTAAAATTTAAAAATAATAAGTTTCGGTCCTTATGGTTATTATAATCCAGGCATTAAAAATTAAATTAGAAACATCAGGTACAACCATAGATATATAACCAGATACAACAGCTGGGTAAATATCGTGTGGCTGAGGAATGTGGTGCAAAACGTCATTCTCTGTTATAAAATTAAATAGATTTCTTGCAAAAATTTAACTATTATGTACTTTATCCTCTGATTTTATTTATTAAAACAATATTGCAAATTTGAGCACTCTGTATAAATTCCAGATAACAGATTTATTAATCTGTAGGTACCTAGTAGAAGAATTTGTTTATACTATTCAGTAACATTAATACCTACCTAAATTGGCATTACAAAAGTAAAAAAATAAATACCTGATTTTAAAATTTTGAATTCCATCTGGACTTTTATAATATCCTGTGTACCTCGCTATTTTATCCATCATTTTACAAACTTTGGTTTTAATTACTACATAAATTATTTTATATTGTTTACATTTTGCTTTTATGATGGTTAGAAATGCGTTCCCAGGATACGACAATCGACAACAATCACAACAAAATAAACCTATTATAGTACGGATGTAAAAGGGGTTGATACGTTGCTACCATGGGCAGTGGCGTAGCGACAAATTGTGCCCCGCTCCAAAAAAGTATTGACTATTGGCCTCCTATGAAATAAATCGGTGAGTGCAAAGAGGGTGGAGTCTAAAACTATCATTTTCGAGAAATTAAAAGAAACATTGCAGCTCTTTAGTTTCTGCTATTAGGACTTAGGCATCTACAGATAGGTTGCGAGTAACTGGTGTCATCGATTAAATAAAATATCCTAGACAAATATAAAAAAGAGACTTTTACACACAACTCGATCAGGGTTAAATCAGTACAAGAAGAGTACCGTTCTTGTGCTTATTTGATGGAATTTGAAATCTATTAACTGGCTATCTCAACTAATAGACGTAATTTTTGAACTCACCGATTCAAAACAAATTGACTCATGTTTCAACAAAACAAAATAAGTTAATAGGTAATTAAATAATTATATTTATTATCACATCATACATAAAATGTAAAACGTAGAAGCAAAACTGTTGAAAAAAAAAAACAAAATAAACGGATATTCTTTAAATTTAAAAAATAACAAAAATTAAACGTTAGTCAAGTAGCTCAAAGTATAAAATAAAATTAAGTATAAAATTCCAACCAGCCTCTTATGCCTCTATGGAGAATATAGATAAATTACCGTCAAACGGGGTGAAGTCGATCAATCCGGTGTTTTCACTTGTTTTTAAGAATTATGGCAACAATGCATTACAAATTAGCTGGTTTGTATTTACGTTCGTATGGCCAACAGGTGAACATCCATTATACCGGTGGTGCTGGTTAATCGTGAAAGGTGAGTTTTCCAAAAATAATTAAGTAGTAAAAAAGCAACATTTTTCAACCTGTAAAATATGTGAAATCAAAGATTTGCACAGCCGATTCTGTAAAAACTAGGTCTGTCTGAGCCCCTCTAGGTGATAAGGAATATGTTCATGAAACGGTGTCCACAATCAGATATGAAAATTTTTTTTGTGCGGTTTTAACTGCAATTTTTTGTGCCGAAATAAAACAACGGGTGAAGTTGATCACTTGGTTTTCGCTGTATTTTATGAGGCTGTGCGTCAGAAAGGTTTGAGTGCCATATACGATCACTTTCTTGATGAACATGTTAGTGAATGCTTTGCAAACCTGTGCTGAGTGGGGTTTCCCATTAAAGCCCATTGATATTAGGCAAATCACGCAGCAATATTTAAATGAACGCGGCATCATTGAAAAGCGATTTACCAAGAATATGCCAGGAGAAGGCTGGTTTAACGGCCTGATGAAGAGACATCCCCAGCTTACAATCAAGCTTGCGGAGAATACAAAGCGAGTGTGAGCCGCTGTAACATACGAGATTATTGAGGAATATTTCCGAAAACTGGCGGAAGTCATAAGGGATATCCCACCACAAAACGTTGTGAACTACGACGAGACAAACTTCGTTGACGACCCCGGGGCTGTAAAAGTGGTAATGAAGAAAGAAAGCAAACACGCCTACAGGACACTTGACACCACAAAAAGCAACACAACAGTTACGTTTGCAATAGCTGCCGATGGACCTCGTCTCCCCCTTGTAGGGTGTACAAAGCAAAACACCTTTATGAAGGATGGAAGGATGGTGGATTACCAGGAGCAATGTACAACAGGTCTCCAAAGGGATGGTTTGATTCTGAATTGTTTAATGATTGGTTCTGGACCGTAGCACTCCCATATTTTCAAAAATTATTAGGGACCAAGCTGCTTATTGGAGATAATTTGCAAAGTCACATTACTATCAGCGTTATTCAAGAGTGCGAAAACAACAATATTACGTTTGTCTTACTCCCCCCCAATTCAACCCACATGCTGGACGTGGCTTATTTTCGTCCACTTAAAGCATCATGGAAAAGGGTACTGGAGGAATGGAAACTGAAAAATAGAGGGGTTTTACCAAAAACTATATTTCCCAGGATATTGAAAACCGCGGTAAAGGGGCTTGGGAATCGCGAAATGAATAATATTTTAGCTGAATTTAAAACATGCGGCCTAGTTCCTTTCATTCCCGATGCTGTTCTTGCAAAGGTAAAAAGAAACAAGCCTACTGCACCTGAGGCAGGAAACAAGGCAGAAACTTCAATGACTGCAGTCCTTGTAGATTATCTACACCAGCTGAAGACTGGGCCAATTAATGTCCCAAAGCGAGGAAAAAGACTGAATATAGTCGCTGGCAAAAGCATACACGGAAAAAATGTGACTAGAAAATTTTACTACAATGTTGTAGTAGTAGAATTGTAGAAAAATACTTAACAATTTGTAGAAAATTTTATTACAATTTATAGTTAAAAACTATTCATTATTGTAGCAATTGAATTGTCGAATAAAATGCTACAACAATAGGAAAGAATTCCACAATGTTTAGTATATTTTACTATTGTTTGTAGAAGTAGAAATTTATTACAATTATCGTAATTACTACTACTAACTTCTGAAAAAAATTTGTACAAATATTAATAATTATCTCTACAAAAAATAGTAATTTTCTCTACAAAAAATAGTAATAATTTACATCCCTTCTTATGAAAAATATTCAATTTTGTTCAAAAATATTCTATAATATTGTAGAAATTCTAAGTCATGTGAACAAAACAGGATTCTGCTATTGGCCAACGTTTTCTGACGTCGATCATAAATGGCCAGACAGCAGTAGCCGTTCGCCATGTTCACATAACAAAGCATGGTACATATACGCGTACCTATAACACATTATTATATTATAAGCACCGATGCGTTTGAGAAAATTTTAATAATAAATTCTATTGGTGGTAAGTACATTTATTATTGTTTCTGAATAATTTACCTTTAGATAACTAATTTAAATAACCTTAGTAGATTATTTAAAAAAAAATAGTTGTGGCCAACGATCAAATGTTGTGCCCAACGATCGAATTTTGTGCCAAATTCAATGATGTTTTTTTGTCTTAATTGTGACATACCTACTTTCTCATTTTTGTTAGTTATCTGACTTAGTCATTTAATATCCAAATCAGTGTAAAGGTGATCAATATCCCCGTTTTAAGGGTATGAACAGTTCAATTGTTATTAATTTTTATTTCATATTTTTCAGGTGCAGAAAAGCCAACTGAGACTGAGGGTGCTATTATTACTGTTATTTATTACATAATGTAATTAAGACTTTGTATCTGTTATATTAAAACAATAAATTGAATATTTTATTAAGGAACATTTTTTTCTAGGTTATAATTATAATAATTATGGAATACTACTACAAGTTTTATTAAAAATTACTACAATTTGTATGAATTTTTACTATTTATTGTGTAAAATTTTCGTATTTATTTTCATAAAACGCAATACATTTTTAATATAAATTCATACAATGAATAGCAAAAATTATAACAATTTGTAGAACAATTCTTATGATGCATTTGGATATTTTTACTAAATTTTGTAGATAATAACTCTACAATACATTCTCCACAAATATTTGGAAATGTTTACTACAAATTGTCCCTGTCCCTATATGTACTATTTATTGTAGAGAAAAAATCTATAATTGTAGAAATTTGTTCTACAATTTTTTTTTCCGTGTAGGCACAGAAGATTTGGAAGAAGAGAACCAAAGGAGTTGCAAGCAATCCAGAACGCGTAAGAGACAAACAAGCGACAGCGAAGACGAAGAGGGAGCAGATGACTTAGAGACACTGCAGGTGGAGGAACAGAATATCAACATAGACGATTATGAAATTGGAGAAAGTTTCGCTGCGCCAGCCAACACTTTTGATCCATGCGGCAACTGGGATATAGGACACTTTATCATCACAAAATATGAGACAAACAAGAGAGATCGATTTTATATCGCTAAAATTATTGAAATCTCAGGGACTGAAATAGTTGTAAGCACACTGCGTAAACATCCATCAAACAAATCTGTGTTTTTCACTTTTCCAAATGTTTCGGATTAGTCTGTTATAAGCGGGGAACATATTGTCCGACAACTCAATTTAAAATTAGTAAAACGAGGCAAATGTTTGTTTTCCCTTAGAGAAGAAGAACTGAAAACGCTCCAGTAAGGGATTTTTATGCCACCGTTGTGTTAAACGGAAATAAAATGACATTGTTAATGTAAAAATGTCATTTTAAACGTCGTTTAACACAACGGTGGAATCGGTCCTAAGAAATCAATGGCTGTGTAAAGCTCGTCCAAAGAATAAACGTTTATATTTTTTTAATATGCATTTTATTGCAAAATTCTTCTGCAAATATTAATATTTTTTTATTATTCACTGATCGACTTCATCCTGCTCCACGATCTACGATCTTGCTCCAGTCACCAGTCGATGACTTAAGTATCAAGGAAGTTAAATTTTTAATTTATAAATATTGTTATTTTTAAATTTGAAAAACATCTACTAATGTAAAACTGACAAGAAACTAATAAATAATAATGCTTTAGTTACCTCTGTAAACTTTAAAGCTAAAATACTATTTTCGATCATTTTCAATATTTTATAGTAAAGGATTTGTGTTCTTTTAATGGTAAACACAAAGCGACAATTACTAAAAGAAAAACCATAGAAAGGTCGATGAAAAGGTTTGCTGTAAGATTTCTGCGATTTAAATAATTAATTTTTTGAGAAAATTATCATATTTGAGGGCATAGGAATCTAAATTAATTCACAAACATATCAAATATTTTATAACATAGGTATTTGTCTTAGAGTAATTTTATTGACTATAGAAAATACGTAATTAAGTACCTATTAGACTCGTTGAAGAGTTTCTGTGGTTTTGGTTGCATTCTTAATTTATTTACCAAGATCTTGCAGTACCTACAAATTGCTTCATTCTTTAAATTAAAAAGCTTATTCTTTAAGATTCTTTAAGATTATCTACATAAAGTAGATAGGTAGTTGTAGATAGAAGGTATTTATATATAGCACTACGCCACTGACCAC